GATTGCCTAAGATTAAATTGTACCTAATGCTAAAACCGCATCCTTATGTCCAATTGCGGCTCGTTTTTTCTTCGCACTAGCAACTTTACCCAATTTAAATGCAGGTTCTAGACAGTTCATTATATCGAGATCCCAAACCTATTTGCAAAAAAAAAATTACAATTATTGTTGAAAAATATTTTGGTTCATACATACATCAATAACTGGGGACATAGAGCCTACGGCGCAATAATTGCCTGCAGCTTGTCCTTTTTCGTAGTTGAGCCATTCCAGGCAGAGTGGAAACGAAGGCAACAAAATATCATGATGGACATAGAAGGATTCCTCTTCATCGTTATTATAAACTAGAAAACAAACCAACAAAAATTGCTTTATTGGAAACGAAGTGTTTTACTCTTACCATAAACTTCTAAAAGGCTGGCATCGCCTTCTACGTGAGCGACCAATATTAAATTATCGGTTGGTTTAATGATGTCGTCTTCTTTTTCAGAATCGTCCGATTCAGAAAAGTGGTCTTCGGCTTCAATTTCATTTGGCAATTCGGCCAGAGAATGAATTCCAAGTGTTTGGGCTGTTTCATTATTATCTGAAAGTTAACTGAAATCAACTAACAGTTTGTAGTTTGTCTAAGAGTTATTGGAACAAAAAACAATCTTCTCAATTTTTATGTCTTTTGTATGTAAACCTCATTTACTTATGTAAAATGTTTGTGATGGTATTGTTTTGGACTGTATTTCTTTTTGGTTGATCTTGAAATAATGGACTAGCAGATGGTGATGATGAATACTTGGTTTATTGACATTTACTATTTGATTTTTAGATGAAAAAAAATGATTTTTTATAAAAGCTGCTTGTTTCTTGTACGGCGGTGCTGCTTCTCTGCGTTCCAGCTGACTTGTCCAGCTGTGTATTTTTTTCTCTCTCCTTCGTGCTTTAAGCCGGGCTCACAAGTCACAGCACAATGCTGCCAAGCTTCGATACGGAACATTGATGACGTAGGAATAAACACAAAAAGGTTTGAGTGGCCGAAACATGCCCCCGGCCTTGAAAGGACTGTACTTTCAAATTTCCAATGGAAGGGGACAAATCTTCTGGAAGTTTCTTTTGATGGGCCCAGTGCTTGTTAAAATGGAAGCGATGCGAGCTACGCCATCAGAACCTGGGTGCAATTGAGTGATGCGTCCAAGTTTCCAATCAGTAGGGAGTGCTTGGTCATCCCGAATGAGAACTAATGTACCCTCAGACAACTGGCCTCGGCTAACCTTCCACTTCTGTTTGTGTTGCAATTCGGATATGTAGTCTTGCTGCCAACGTCGCCAAAAATGTTGACAAAGTCTTTGAACTAGCTGGAACCTTGTCAATCGATTGAGCTTGATATCTTCCAAGTTTTCATCTATTCTGGGGCGGCAGTTAGTGGTCTTCCGATAAGGAAGTGAGCCGGGGTCAAAGGAACTAGGTCATTGGGTTCAGAGGAAAGTGGAGAAAGAGGGCGCAAGTTCAAGATAGCTTCAATTTGCGCTAATGTCGTAATAAGCTCTTCAAAGGTAAGATGAGCATTTGCAAGGACACGTTTTAAATGATGTTTTACGCTTTTGACGCCGCTCTCCCACAAACCCCCCATATGCGGAGAATATGGACAAATAAATTGCCAGTCTATCCCTTCATTAGTAGCATTACATTTTAATGTATCTTGATTGGATTCTAGAAATGTTTTAAGTTCGCGGTGTGCTCCAACAAAGGTTGTGCCGTTGTCACTAACAATTTTGGAAGGTTTCCCTCTTCTGGAAACGAAACGCCTTAAAGCTAATAAAAAAGAGTTTGTAGTTAAACTTGACACTAGTTCCAAGTGCAAAGCCTTTGTGGAAAAGCACACGAATACTCCAATATAACACTTTTCTAATTTGCGTGAACATGATTTACCCAGTCCCTGCCTCACTAGAAACGGTCCCGCATAATCAAGTCCTGTGACGTGAGAAGGCGGAGAAGGAACAGTGCGATCGCGCGGTAAATTGGCCATGATCGGCTGTACATAATCGGGTTTAAATCTGAAACATCGAAAACATCTTTTGACCGTCGTTCTAGCTAAATTGCGACCAGCAACTGGCCAAAATTCGTCTCTTATTGAGGATAATAAAGCTTGAGGTCCGATGTGCATTAACTTGACATGTTCATGGGCAAAGAGCAATTTCGTAAAATAATGACTTGAATGCAATAATATTGGATGTTTTTTATCTGGTGAAAAATCAGAAAATTCCAATCTGCCCCCAACCCGAATAATCTCATCTGAATCTAAAAATGGTGTTAAATTGAGAATTTTGCTATTGTTAGCAATGAGACGTTTTTCAATTAAATGAGAGAATTCATCAGGAAAAGATTGTCTTTGAGCGACCTTAATTAGATGCTTCTTTGCAAGATTAAATTCTTGAATTTTAAGAGGGTCTTTAACTCGATCAGAAGCCGATTTCAAACAATTGTTCTTGAATCGCAAAATAAAAGCAACAGCTCGAATCAAACGTAGACATTTTGAAAACCTTTCGAAAGGAAATGTGTTTAATTCGAAAACTGGCATTGCGGTGATCGACAAGGGTTTCAACTCTGGAACGGTGTCGACTTTAGATGGTAATAACGGCCATTCACTAGAGGGTGTCTTCAAAAATCTGGGTCCATGCCACCACATATCCGACTCTAGAATTTGATTTGGATATAATCCTCGAGATAAGTGGTCGGCTGGATTTTCTTGACTAGGTACGTGTCTCCAATCTTGACTGTCGGTTAGATTTTGAATTATTGCTATTCTGGTTGCTACAAACGTCTTTAATACGTTTGGAGTCGTTCTGATCCATGCTAAAACGATTGACGAATCCGACCAATAGACACATTTTTGAGATTGTATATTTAAAGACATCTTAATCTTGTTTACAAGACGAGCAAGTAATAACGCGGCGCATAATTCTAACTTGGGTATGCTTAGAGTTTTAATGGGTGCAACTTTGGATTTCGAACATAAAAGCCTTACATGTACTTGATTATTTTGATCTACACTTCGAACATATAAACATGCACCGTATGCTCGCTCGGAGGCGTCTGCAAAACCCTGCAAATCGACTATCTGCGCCCCCTCGCCCACTACATGTCGTTCGATGGTTAATTGGTTTAAACAAAGTAGATCAACCTTGAACTTGTGCCATTCACAGGCTAGATGTTCCGGTAGACTCTCATCCCAAGACACCTTTTCAGACCACAATCTTTGCATGAGGATCTTCGCTAGGATAGTACATGGACTCAACATTCCCAATGGGTCAAATATGCGAGCGGTGAGAGACAAAACATTTCTTTTTGTATCCATTTGATAAGTGCTTATATCAATGCGAAAGGCTAACTTGTCGTTATAGCAGGACCAAGTTAAACCTAGGGTTTTAGCTGTTTCATCAGGACTGAAAGTTAAGATGCCGCATACTTCGTCGTTGGTTTCAATGCCGTCGAGCACCTTTGGTTCATTGGAATACCACTTGCGCAACTCGAAACAACCGCCTTTTAGAACACGTGCAATCTCTTGACATAAATGACGTGCATGTTCTATGGAGTCAGTACTAAAAAGCAGATCATCGACGTAAAAGGAGCGCTTGATGATATCAGCAACTTCTGGATTGTAGTCAGCACACTCATTGGCTAACTGGAATAGACAACGAATGGCTAAATAACTTGCGCTTGCCTGTCCGTATGTAACGGTATTTAGTGTATATGCTTTAAGTGGATCCGTGGGGCTTTCTCGCCATAAAATCTTCTGGAGATTTCTTTGCATGGGATTCACCAATACTTGTCGGTACATCATTTTGCAGTCGGCAGAAACCACATAGCGCTTTTCGCGAAACCTTAGCAGTATTGATAGGAGGTCGTCCTGCAAAACTGGTCCGACATATTGAATATTGTTAAGAGATATTCCGTTGCTTGATGGAGAACTGGCATTGAACACAACCCGAAGTTTAGTAGTCAAACTATCGCTTCGTAAAACTCCATGATGAGGCATGAAATATTCCACGTCAGAAGGGTTGGAATTCAAATCAGCAACGGTCATGTGATGGAGGGATTGATACTCCTGCATGAACTTGATGTATTGTTCCTTCAAATACTCTTGCTTTAGAAGTTTTTTCTCGAGGTTGTAAAACATTTTCTCTGCTCGAGAGCGGGATTCGCCTAAGCAATCAGCTGACTGTTTTAATGGTAGATTCACTACAAACCGACCTTCATGGTTCCTACATGTTGTCTCTGAAAAGATTCGTTCGCATTCGGTTTCTTCGCTGGATAACGGTCTAGCTTGAGTCAACTCTTCAACTTCCCAAAATCGTGCCATCATATCATGCAAATCTTGGTTGATGCTTAGGTTGCAAGAAACTTGTCTCCTTTGTTCTTTTGCTCCAATTCCTCCTACTGGACCAGCTACTACCCATCCAAGTTCAGTTTCTTGAAGCGTAGGATTGTACTTACCACCTGATAACCTACCTAATTTTAATAGACTCCAGAAGAGATCGCAACCAATCAAAACGTCGATCGCACCTGGTTTGTTGAACTCCTCGTCGGCAAGGTATAGGTTTGATGGAATTTGGAATAAATTTAAGTCAATCTCAAAACCTGGTGTAACATTTGTGATTTCAGGAAGAATAAAACAAGTAAGTTTTGTATTAAAATCAGTATATAAAGAACTTAGAATAACTTGACATTTACCATGTACTTTGGTAACCGAGTTTGATATGCCGAAGACGTTTAAATTGGCATTAACTTTATCTAAACCCAATTTGTCACATAGGTTTGTCGTGACAAAAGAAGACATAGAACCGGAATCTAGTAAAGCTCGCGCAATGTGAGGCATGCCAAATTTGTCTAGAACCTTGACTCGAGCTGTTGATAAAAGCATAACCCGCTTACCTGATTTGCATATGCTGCTAATTAAAACAGCCTCTGCCTGACACCCTTCGTCGTTGTTGCTGTCAGCAGTTGTAACATTCGATGGAGAATTGAAATTATCCTGGTGTAATAGAGTATTGTGCCACGAATTACATTTTCTACAGGTACCCATTTTGCATCTCTTGGGTGGATGATGACGCAAGCAATTTATGCATAGTTTTGCTTTGTTTATGAACTCGATACGTTTTTTAACTGGTAAGTTGAGAAAATCTTCACACACATAAATTGAATGATCTTTCTTGCAATTATAACACGAAAGTGTTGAAGAAACTAGGGACCTAGAGGAGAACCGTTGCTTGAAATCTCGCTTGTCCTGCCGATCGTCTTGCGCTAATTTCATAGTAGTTTTGTACTCCAGAGTTTCCAAAAAATTAGCCCGATTTGTTAAAAACGTTTTTAAATCATCTAATGAAGAAGTGTTTAATGTTATCGAATATTTTTCCCATTCACTTGCCGTATTTTGATCAAGTTTAGATGTTATCATGAATATTAACAAAGGATCCCAGTTTTTAATTACTTGATTTAATTGCTCTAGTGATCTGAGATGCTTTGACACGTCATCGATCATTTTACGAATCTTTATAGATGATTCTTTTTGAATGTTTTCTAGTGTAAACAATGCTT